AAATTCAGCTAAAGGGAAGGAGATTTGAGACGATAGAAGAGATTCAGGCAGAATCGCAGATGGTGCTTGACAGGCTGACAAAGAAAGATTTCCAGGGATGCTTCCAGGCTTGGCAGCGGCGCTGGGATCGTTGTGTTGACTCCCAGGGGAACTACTTCGAGGGTGATGGATGAATTTAATACCTGAGATAAGTGTACGGGTTTTTATAGGCGCAGTCTTGAAACTTTCTGATCGCATCTCTTATGTGTCGATGGTGCGTTGTTGAAGTAAACTGTTTTCCGGATATTATCCATCGTCCAAGTTTAAACAAAATCAATAAAAACCACGACATTTCTTAGATGGGAGTCTATCTCCGTGTTCAGATAAAACCTACTCTGTTGGGTCCAGTCGGTAGAGCTAATTCCTACCTCCAGTTCAGTTTACGGTAGTGAAATTTTCCCTCCTCTTACCTCTAAAAGACTTCATGTCGTATTACAAGACAGCCTTATTTTCAAATTCATTCGGTTTCTGAGTTGGAAATACACCAACGTCTTCCTATTCCTAGATTCCTTTACGGACTTCAGTTACCGGATCTTCCTCCAGTAGTGGCTGGCACTGAGTGAATCACTATATATTGATTGATGTTCGGTCAGCCTTAATACGCATACTTATCAGTTCTATACGCCATGGCTCATAAATCCGTCACATTTTGTTGTTGCATAAACTTCACTTACAGTGAATTTTCAGGTTTTTACTGCAGCGAATATGAAAATGACTCCATTTTTAAATATTGCGCCTTGTAATCTGATAGTTTACCGACGTTTCAGAGGTGCTTGGTGACTTTGTAATCAGGGCGATAAGTGGTCATTGAAGATGGTTATCTTTATAGACTGTATTTCTTATACAATAAATTAATTTTCTGTATGAGTTTTACCTCATATATAATAACATTAAGAAAACTGTAAAATTTCTAAACTTTCACGGCAAGAAAATTCAATGAAGTCTTCTCTAGTGATTAGTAAACATGAACCCTCACGATGGAAGAAGAAACGGTCTCCGAAACGTTGTACTGTAAAACCATACTTATACTGCTTATCGCCTGAGATTTCATTGCACTTAATAATAGAGAAAAAAGTTTTAAAAATCAGTATTCGATCTAATGAAAGTTTTTAAAAGATTATGTAATGCGAGGGAGAACGGTTTTAAACTTTGCATTCTCAAAAGACTGGACAATTATGTGAACACGCTGTACTCGGTCCTGTTCTAGCTTGGGTGTTCTACTTGCTTACCTAATTTGAATCTTCAATCAAAACCAACAGAAAGCTGGTACAGTGTTGTATAACAAAAGGGAATATTAAAAGCAACTTGGCTTGTATAGAAGATTAACATGATCCAGTCCAACGCTTATCCGTTCATCATTGTGTTTCCAAAGCCTGGCTACAGATTAACAGCAGTGGAGAAAGATACATTGTTACAGACTATTAATAGAAAAATGTGTATGACTATTTATGTTTTGTCTTTTATGCATAAATTATTGTAATCGTTAAAATTATAATTTTCGACCTCCTGGGATAATGATTAAGTGTCTATATGTGTGTATTGTTTTTAAATTATTACAATAGTTTAAATGGTAAAGCTGTTAAGGTTTACATTTGTCATAAAGCCACTATCGTCTACGTCTGGATTACTATTGTCATGATGTACAACAATTTATTTTACAGCGTATGCAATTTTTGGCTGTTTTTATAGTTACGTTAGTTTGTTTACTGGTGCAAATGGAATCATGCAGACATTTCACACGTTCCTAGCTTAATTTTGTTTTTAAATAGAATTAAAAGTGACGTGGGTCCAACCAGCACAATTTAAGAGCATAAATAAATTTATAAATCTCGCATTGATCTACAGAGTTGATCTTCATATTAATGCATACGCAGATCAAGACCTGCCCATTAGATGTGATTGACAAATTTAGGTTAGAAGTGGCAATCTAAGAGGGAATAATTAAGTAATTCCAATAAAATTAAAATATTACTTAGATTTGGAATATTTTTATTCGTTCAGTGATTAAAAAATAATTATCGGACAGAAATATATTTGTTCGACAGCAATCTTTTTTTAAAATTGTCGTCCGCAGTGGCTGTACCGTTGATATCCTTCGTCCACATTTCGTGAAGTGTTTTCGATAAATTCCGTCTTTATAAACGGATTATCCACTTAATCCCTCAGTCTTAAAATCAAACAATAACATTATAGGATGTTTGTATACTTAGTTTTAAAAGTTATGATGACAATAAGTGTCTGATTAATAGTTAATAGGAGGTGGAGACAAGAGACAAAAGCAAAATTACGGCCGGGATTTACTGCTTATTCAAGCCCAAAATTATGTTGTACGTTAGTTAAGCAACATCTTGGTGAATAGATAATAATTTTGCTTGATAATGTGACAGTAACTTTATATGCTGCGTGAGATTTCTGTTCGTAAGTATTTCCGAAGATTTCTAAGAAGAGTTTGTTGAGAGTTAAATGGCACTACAAGGTCTGTCAGCATCACTTCGCTAATTATATTACATTCAACAAGCTGCTGAACAAGAGAAAAGTAATTCGGCACAGCTGGAAACGTGTGGTTGGTAAATAGGGACTTGATGGTGATATTATGCTCCATTCTATGTAAGAATAAGAATGTCTCTTATTTTCAAAGGCAGCGTCAAATATCAATGTAAAATTCAGAAGAAGCCAGTTTAATACGAACAAGCAACGGCCTTTATAAGATTCGTATCCGAAGACTGAACTTTGTAACAAGACCGAGGTTATACGTACGTTCATAAATAGTTTTAATTTACATCACAGAATAATTCATCAAAGACATAAATAACAGAATAAAAATTTCCTTGAATATTTTCCATCGTCTAATAAAATAATAAAATAGAAAACGTTTCGGAGATTGATTTCCATTTCCGAAACGTCGTTTTCTATTTATTATTTTACTAGACGATGGAAAATATCCAAGGAAATTTTTATTCAAATAACTCACCATCTTGTCGAACTTTTAGATTTGATATAAATAATAGAAATCAACATTACTTTTACTGAGTCAGGATAAAATAATAAAATAGAAAACGACGTTTCGGAGATAGATTTCCATTTCCGAAACGTCGTTTCCTATTTATTATTTTCCTAGACGATGGAAAATATCCAAGGAAATTTATATTCAAATAACGCACCATCATCACGAACTTTTAGATTTGATTGTACCTTTTTGTCTAAGTAAACATTACTTTTACTGAGTCAGGATTTTGATATTGACGGTTTTGGAAATACACAATGGACTAAACTAAATTTTAAATATAAATTACAATTTCGCTTCCTGAAACCAACTACACTTTTCCTCTCTCTATAACCTTCACGATCCGAACGATGAAGTTATTGATATCTTCCTTTTATATGAAATAACCATAACAAGTAATATTTTTTTTGATTTGCCCTAGGACTGTCTAACGCTTCAAATTTAAGACTATTGGGCCTCGTTGTTTATGCCCACAGTTTTATTGCATCGCTCGTGAAAGCTTAAAAAATATTTTGGTTAGGTGAATTGGGAGAATAGGGCCAATTCTTGGTCACCTAAACCCCCGGATCTAGCCCATTTAATTTTTAATTTCGGAATAATGCCAACGACTACATGTATTGAAGACGCCCAGTCAGGAAGAGAACAAGTAGGAAGTGAAATGTGTCACTTTATAATTCCGGAAAAGCTGAATCGATTCTGGTAGAATCCGGATTACCGTCGCCATGTGGGCACACACATTGGATTTGTGGCAGTAAAGTTACTCTCTGAATGCAGCTGTTTGAGATTGATCTCGTGCTACAGAGACTTGGCGTAATTGTTGTCGGTGTTTAAGGTCACTGTAGTGAATTTATGGTTCTGGCTGATCGCTATTTTTTGGTTGGCGTAAATGAAACCATCCACATTTACAGATACACGAAACAACCCGAGAGAATGCCGAAGAATTCCGAAAGCATGATACAAAACTTTGTGATCTACACTTAAAATTATTCATTGTCAGGACTTTTTCCATCGTCTTCTCTTTAAAATCACGACGTTTCGGAGGCTGGTTCTGTCTCCGTCTTCAGGTGAGAGGCACCTACTCTGTTGGGTCCCTTAGATAGAGCTAGTCCCACTGGACCAGTGTCAGAGACTAGCTCGATCTAAGGGACCCAACAGAGTAGGCGCCTCTCACCTGAAGACGGAGACAGAACCAGCCTCCGAAAC